TTACATACTAATGCGATATTTTTTTTGGTTTTGGTGAATTCAAATAAGTTTAAAAGAACCTATAATCTCCAACATATTTGATTTACACCAAAAATCCTTATATCCAAACTAAGTGCCATGCAAATTATTTTTTTTAATATAAAATATATTTATCTATTTGAAAAATATACTATTTGATATTTCTAATTTTTTTGATATATTAAAAAAAAATTATAGTTTTTCTTTTAAATACTAAAATCCCTGTTTGACGCGGATAACAATTAGACCATCCACATTGCACATAAAATGTGGATGTCTCTAAATAAAAAAAATATTAAAAACACACTCTCTCTTATTTTTACTCAATTTTATACCTTTTCTTCCATTCTTTTACTCAACTTTTATTAATTTTATATTTAAACACACTCTAACTTTCATCCATTGTCTCTCCAACTTTGTCTTTCCATACATCCCAAAAGACATCATCTCTCCAATTATACCCACTATCTCATCTTTTTACTCAAATTTTATTAATTTTATATTTCAATACACCCCATTATTTCAACCAAAACACTTTCTTTCTTTCTTTTACTCAACTTTTAATAATTTTATATTTAAAGACACCTACAAAATATAACCACTGGGATGCTCTAGTGTTGTTATAACAAGAGCCGCAAGTTGTCCGTTGGAATTTGTCATTTCAAATCGATAACAGTAGATTCTAAAAGGTGATAGCTATGAAGCTACAAATCTCGACCTATGTAAAGTTTGTCGCTATATATGAATAATACTAAGTAGGTGTCGCTCGCTTCTGTATTATGTCATATTTTTAAGACCTCATCCAGTCATATCATAAACGTTGAACGCAAAGACTTTAGGTTTTCTAAGTAAACGCAAGGCAATAAAGGCAAGAAGAAAAATTATTGGAAGGAGTTTTTTCCGGAACTAAAGATATTTATTTTATTTTTCATACAAAATGGAAATGCAATTCAAATTACTACAAACTGAAATGGTCTAAAGTTCTGTCTATACATTTGTCCCTTTGATGTCTCGGTGAAAGAACTTATAGAGAATCTTAGGCCAAAGACGATGATGAATTCCTAGTCGCACTCGTATGTTATTCTCACACTTGGATTTGAATCGATTGCATAAAGTAAGATTTATAACACACAAGAATTACTAGTTCCTACTCAATTGTGCGACTATGTCTTGGCAAGAATATCATTAATTATCTCTTTTTTCGTGATGGAGTTTACACCTTCTATATGTCTCAATGAAGTCTTCTCTGTGTATACTTTGACAGGAAATGTTAATGAGGCATCATTGCAATTTGAAGCTATGCACAGAGACTATGGAATAATCCCCTTCCATGGAACATTATCATAGTGTTAACAAGATGTTGACAACATCTGGGCACTTGGACATGGCAGTGAACTTTGCTTAGAGAATGCCAATGGAGCCGAGTAGGATGCGCATTATGGGGAAAAGGTCGGGTAATAGCGGGTGAGGATCAGAGCCGGATCTGAGAATTCCGGGGTCCCATACAAAAAAACAAATTATTGACATTAATTTAGATATTTTTTAAAAAAAAATTGGGTTTTTAACAACAATACTTTTTATGTTTAATAAAATTATGAAAAAAACTACTTAACATTTTTATTTTTTAATCATATAATCACACAAAATATTTGATCTCACAAAAAAATATGTATGTTCTTTTTACTAAATTTTCATTTTTTTCATCAAATAACATATTTTCATATAAACTAAACTAAACATAAAATCTAATTATTTTTTTTAATAAGTGGGGCCCTTTGAATGTGGAGGCCATTCAAATGTTTCAAATAAATGGGTTTAGATCCGGCGTGGTGAAGATCGGTTAATACTATTTCACAAATAACTATTCGAAATGCACCGTTAAATCTTTCCTAAATGTATTAGAAGTCCCAATCTAAAGAATACAATATTTTACAAATTAAATGATACAACCATGTTGTACAAGTTTAACTATGAGATGAGCACATAAAACCTGAAGGCATGAGTTCTTGTAGGGGACAGGATTGGTGCAGTACTCAATCGAGAAGAGCAACACTAATCGTGCGCATGATTCACGCCAATTGCTCTTCTCGCTAACAACATACGTATAGGGAGAGCCCAGAAAATAATAATAAAACCACATCAGTATAACTACAAAGTGTAGGACCAAAATATTGGAGCACGTTCAAAAAAAAAATGGTTCCAACACAAAGCTATCAAGAATAAACGCATGCAATGCAATAGTCAAGAAGTAGACGTGTAAGAAGGGAATTTTGGATTGCAATTTCAGTTATTAGTTTTGTAACCCATTAAGATGTATATTCTTGTTAATACAAAATGATTTTTTTTCCAAAAGTACATGATGGATTTCTTGATTTGAGTAGATTTAAATCTTTCCTAAATTTATTAGAAGTCTCAATCTAAAGAATACAACATTTTACGAATTAAATGATACAACCATGTTGTACAAGTTTAACTATGGGTTTGACTGGCAGAGCATTTAAAAGAGTATTATGCATTTTATTTTTAAAACTTGATTGGTTGACAGAATATTAAGTAGATCATTTACTAAATGCCAATGCTCTCAAAATGTTCCACCCTCAATGCTCTCAAATAAAACTTTTTCAGAGCATTGACCTCTAAATATTTTACAAAAATTAAAATTATATAACTAATTTATTTTAAATTACATAAAAAATTATATTAAAT